TCAGACATTTTGAAAACTGTAGGGGGGTTTGGGCAAAATATGACCCATCGCCGTTTTCAGTAATTGGCATATTTTCGGTATAAAAATTCGTAATTTGAAACTGAAAATAGGTGCAGAGAGTCAGAATTCGGCTCAAAAATCACGCTTAGGAGTCAAATTTCCGACATTTCTGACATTTTAAAAACTGCAGGGGGGTTTGGGCAAAATATGACCCATCGCCGTTTTCAGTAATTGGCATATTTTCGGTATGAAACGTCGTAATTTGAAACTGAAAATAGGTGCAGAGAGTCAGAATTCGGTTCATAAATCAAGCTCAGGAGTCAAATTTCCGACCTTTCAGACATTTTAAAAACTGCAGGGGGGTTTGGGCAAAATATAACCCATCGCCGTTTTCAGTAATTGGCATATTTTCGGTATGAAACGTCGTAATTTGAAACTGAAAATAGGTGCAGAGAGTCAGAATTTGGCTAAAAAATCAAGCTCAGGAATCAAATTTCCGACATTTCAGACATTTTAAAAACTGCAGGGGGGTTTGGGCAAAGTATGACCCATCGCCGTTTACAGTAATTGACATATTTTCGGTATGAAACGTCGTAATATGAAACTGTAAATAGGTGCATAGTGTCAGAATTCGGCTCAAAAATCACGCTCAGGGGTCAAATTTCCGACATTTTAGACATTTTAAAAACTGCAGGGGGGTTTGGGCAAAATATGACCCATCACCGTTTTCAGTAATTGGCTTATTTTCGGTATGAAACGTCGTAATTTGAAACTGAAAATTGGTGCAGAGAGTCAGAATTCGGTTAAAAAATCAGGCTCAGGAGTCAAATTTCCGACATTTCAGACATTTTAAAAACTGCAGGGGGGTTTGGGCAAAATATGACCCATCGTCGTTTTCAGTAATTGGCATATTTTCGGTATGAAACGTCGTAATTAGTAATTACGTAAACATTAGGGGGTGTTTCCTCAGTATACATTTTTAGGATGGGCTATTTGGACGTTAGGCATTACAAAATTCTGTAAGCCCCCTGTTTAATCCAGTATAACACCATACTAGCAAATTACCAAGGACGGGTTGGCATGGTCATTTAAAGTGATCTTTATTACCATGTTAGTGATCACTTTTTACCGTGACACCTAAGGACCTGAAGTGGTTTTATTGCCCGGCAAACTTAAGATGTCCTGAGCTAAATAATGTTCGCCAAGGATCCGTCACTGTTCACTCAATTGCAAAAAACGAAGTGCCGCGGGGTATGATCGTGGGTGCTTCTTGTTCCCAAGATGCCCCTCCCTCCCCTTGAGAAGGGATAGCTTTCAATGAATATCGATTGATTATTTTTACAGTCTAGACTTATATCTAATTATATTATAATCACATCTTAATCATAAGATTTAAAGATTATAAGTAGTACTTGATAGTACCACCGATTGTTATTAAGGATTCGATTTATAATCCCTGCCGGTAGCGATTAATGTTCCAATAGTTTTTTAATTAACAAATCCTTCTAGAAGCTTCTGGATCCTTGAGAGATCATGCACAAAGCCATGTAGGCATCTATAGGGACCTATGGCGTACGTGATCCAAGTGGCATTGTCATCTAGGTTCAAGCTATATAATGAATCTATAATGATTCGGATTTGATTTTGATACGATTTGATATGATATAGATATGACATTTCTTAGATGAGTATTAGACATGGTGGGTAAAAAATTTTCCACACTAAGATTGCCGGCTAATAAATCCTCTTTTAGGTCCATTGTTACAACTATTACCATATAAGTTACTTAAGTGTCACGGTAAAGACAACTTTAAATAACCATGCCATCCTATCCTTTGTAATTCTTGCGAGTAAGGTGTTACTGGATTAAGCAGGGGGCTTACATTATTTTTTTTTAATGCCTAACGTCCAAGTAGCCGATCCTAAACTGAATGTATACTGAGGAGACACCCCCCCCCTCCCCCTAATATTTACTGTAGCAGGACAGTTTGCAGCATGTCTGCTCCTTAAACTTCAGAACCTGGAAATAATTCCCGACCCAGACTCAACCTCTGCAGTGACTTGTACTGTCCTGGAATAATTACCTCCCAGACAACTTCCCCTTTTCTCTGAGCTCCTCTGGTTACAGGAAAGATGGGGGATGGGCTGAAAGTCTGGACACTGACCATTTAGGCAGTTGTCCACCTTTGCTCTATCTCCATAAGGATGCCATCAAGATTCAAACACTAAGCGAGCGATACAAGGTTCGAATTCAACCACAGGTTAATTTACCATTAGGGACGTAAAGATACAATCGTCCTGAGAAGCCGACTATCGTATCTTGCTTTCGTCAAAGTTCCACAATGCAATTTGGACAAAGTTCATGGCGGGGTTTCGTAAAGTGCCCACAAGTTAAGCTTGTTCAGAGTTTCCCCAGTGTCTTACCATGGGAGGAAGCTAAAAGGATAGGTTACCTTTAAGTGCCGTTACCTTAACCCTGACTGTAGGATGTCATTTCTGACACCGCTGGCATTCAAATTCCTAACCAGCTAACCTGGGGGTCAGGCGGCAGGTGTAGGTATAGTCAGTGAAGACAACACCTGAAAACTTCAACCATCTGAATAGGACAAATTGAGCACGAATAAATTTAATAACAGGATGCAATTTGAAGCTGTTACCATGTGAATAGGCGCTTACAAAACTTTGCAAGTTTGACCCTCTATGGTGACTGTTTGAACAAGAAAACGGCAAGTTGACCTAGAGTGAATCTTTCAAGAGACTTACAGGTAAAGCGACAGCAGGGAACAGGAACTACCCGAGGGGTAATCTTCAAAGCATGACAAGCTATAAGTTTCAGAAATCATGCAAGGTCTGCAAAGGCAGTAACAATCCTGTAGACAGTACGCCAGTATGAACATTACAAGCACTTGGTAGGAGACGAGCGAAGAGGTACTAGATCAGAGGCGAATCCCAGTACGGTACTTTTTAACATGAGAAAGTTGAATTTACCGAGTGGAAAAGTTAAATGATAAATGTAGGCCAAATTAGCCGTTGCTATGGAGCGCTTGCCATCAAATACACGAACTGGGTAAAGTATAGTGTAATTAGTGCAGCTTCACAAGGCAGAACTTCCGCATGACGTCGCACGAGCCTATTACGTTCTTTCAAAAGGATGCACACAAGGTCCCGTGCGATGCCACCTGGAAGGTTGCAATTTGAAAATTACTAGCAACTCCTTAAAAATAATTATCAAGAAGGCACCAAACCGGGAAGGCCATGTAGCACCATCAAATTGCGGAATACTTTGAGGGCGCTAAATATCACCAAGGATAGCAACTCCTTAAAGACTAGTTTTATACGTCGACCCTCCAGCAGGAGGAGTATAGGATTCCTCAGTGCGAGGAGTACTGATCAGTTATTCCCTGCCCAAGCAGTAGTTGAAGGAGCTTCCTTAGAGATCCTCCGTAGATATAGGTTATGAAACCTTGATCAAAGGATTCTTAGGTTGTCAACACTCCATTTGTATTTAAGACCCGAAATCTAGAGAAACTTTGCACTCTAGTTTCAAATAAACTAAAATATATGATAAACATTAAAGCTTTCCGCCTCAAGCTTTATGTGTTCGCATTAGCGTTCGGGAGAATAAAAATGTATGATAAATTTTAATAAAGTATATTAGAAATCCACTTCGACCAAAATAAGTCACTTAAAAAATTTAAAATTTTGTGAAGGGCTGGTAATTTCCAGCATTAAGTCCCGCATTCTAAAATACTGTCAATTAAAATTCATTTTATTTTTTTCGCCCCTCGGGTCCCTATGGGCCCCATGAAGTATATATTACTTCATTTGGGAAGCCACCCTCGGGTCAGTCAAGGTCCACTACTGAACAGGAGCCACGTATTCACATATGGGACAACGTTGCTCCTGGCTGAAGCAGCAGTCTAGCAGGCAGTCCGGCAAGAGCGGAAGAACCGAACACCTGCGCCACAGGTTGTAGTCCCGGGACAAGTCCCCAATCTAAAGAAAATTATTGCAGAGATTATTGCAACAGTATTAAATATCTTTAGGAAGTAGGACTAATATTGTTGGAAACCAGAATGCATATTTAACGGTGTTTCAGTAAAAAAAAAAGTTACAGCCTACCATTTCAGGTACGCATAGTTAAGAACCTCACCTTACAACTAGGACATGTCCCTCTCCTAGGGAGGGAGTAGAGGGGGATGGAGCGCCCCGCCCGTGGAGCCTCACACCTCGGTACATGGCCAGAACCAGCAGCAACTGGAGGGTTGGTGGTGTCTGGTGAAGAAAAAGTTACTTATAAGACATAACTAAAGTCTTTTTGCTACAACCTTAGACAACAAGCGTTAAGTTAATGATATGTTAAGACAATGTCAAATATCCCTGCCAAACTAGTATAACATGAAAATTGTTGAACTTAAAAAACATTTTTGGTAAATAATCAAAAAATATTAGGCACATTCACCCCATAAAACCTTAACACTTAAAATTCAAAGTTATGAAAAAATACAATTTGTAAACTTTAAGCTACCACACATTAGTCAAACCATAAATCACAAACCTCGAACGTCGCTCATGGTTATTACCGAAAACAACGTCTGCGTCAATAAGAAGGTACAGCCTGAGTAAGGAAGTAGAGTGCTCTGCCAACTGCTGGCCGACTCCTGCCCCAAGTAAACTTGTGTGAAGCCTCGAGGCAGCCACCGAACAATTCCCATGTGATTCGTAAAGCAATAAAACAATTTTCGCTTATAATATCTTCATAATTATTGGATGCTTTCATCTGAAAATTATCTTACCTGGCCAGAGTTCATATCACTTAAGATGTTCACCTAATAACACAGACAGTATATACATTTGACGAAATATATAAATGGGTTTTGGTTTTCGGTATGAAACACTCTCAGTGAATCTTTAACCTGTTGTTTAAACCATCAGCAAAACGAAGCAAACTGCTGAAGTGCATTTACTTTTTACGAATCACTTGAGAATCGTTCGACATCTACTTCGAAGCTTCAGACGTTTACTTGGGGAAGAGCCGGTCAGAAGCTGACAGATGACCTGGTTGTGTTCTCGTGAACGTGTTCGTTTTCTGATCCAGACATTGATTCTCTCAGAGTAACACTTGGGACAATGTGGGAGGAACACGAACGTTAGTTGTGCATTTTATTTGTATTTCGTTGGTTATAGTTTCCATGTTTGCTGACGTTCGTTACTTAAGAATGTACGTGGTATTATATATAATTTTCGAAGTCTAGCTTATTTGGACTTTTCAAATCTTAATCTTTTTTGAGTTTTTAAGCGTTAAAGTTAACCTTATTACGTTCACAATAAAGTGTAATTTATCAAAACCTGTTATTAGTGTTATGATGGAAAAATATTTACGCCTGTATATTTATAGAAAGATTTTAATGTTGGTATCCGACCATTATTTTACAGTAGAAGAAATCCCTTCTGTAGCAGAACGCAGAGCTGCATATGGCCGTTGTAAGTATACGTTGCTGGTTTGTCTCTCCACTTTTACTCTACTTTTAACCTGTGAACTAATAAACCTTTTGACTTCCAGCAAAGGACTGCCAGCTTCTTTCTGGCACTTTCCCGGATGCTAAACCCATTCAGCTACAACCTCCAGTAAAGGTTACTAGACCCCTCTATTACCGTCCTATTGGTGATGAACCTGTTAATGAATATGCAGGTGCACTTCTTCCTGATAACTACTCAAATGCTGAAGCCTACGTTTCTGCAAAAAATTTATACTCTGGTCGTCGTAATGCAGCTGGTGGAGCTATCTTGGCTGCTGTTGACTCTGATGCTGCTACTGCTGCCGCCTCCGCAGTCCCTAAGACGGAGACATGCCCTAAGGGGTCATAGCCGGAAAATCCGAAGAAAAATGGAATGTTTACGAAAAATTACGAAAAATACTACAACGTTCTGGCAACACTGTGGTGCAAACCGTTTTATGTTATCTTGAAAAATAACTTAATTAAGTCAAATTTCCCGCTGCAACTTTCGTGACTCTGGTCCTCGCGGCGTGGGTGCGCCGCGGAGTATTGTATCTTACGTTGTAGAAGTCTAATGTTTCGTAATAGCGTTGAAAATAACATGTTATGCATAAAATGAATATAAACTCGCTCATTGGCAACAGTCTCGTGTGAGAGAGAGGGTGGTTCGTGGCTCAGTCACTGTGTGTGTCCCTTAGGAAGTGGATGTATCGCTGACGCGCTCACAATATCTCGCAGAACTCTTGCTATTTTTGCTATTTGTACTGCAATATGACTTGCCAAACGAACAAGAGACAAGCATTGAAAGCTAGATGCATGAGAGCTCTCCATAGAAGGTACGAGCTGGCCGCAATGCGTAAATCGCGCATTGTCACGAGTAAAGATCGTGACCGCGAGTAGAGTAACTTGTCGCGGCGCGCTATGCCACTCCAACTTTTACAACTAGATCTGCCTTCACAGCCTTTATTTATTATTCAATTTACATGAAACTTGCACATTATATGTAGAGTTTACGCCTCTTAAAAACACATGTAGCTTTTTTTTATCTACGTAGATTTATTGATTTTATAAATAATGATAAACTTCATTTTGTTGCATAAGTTTTTGGGAAACTTTTAAAAATCTGTTATTGCACTAAATACATCTGGGATAAAAATCCTTGGTGCAAATCTTTATTATATAGTAAGGTCATAGCTGAGTGTCGTAGAAATGATTTTGGTTCACAATTGTGGGCTGTGAAAGCAATTGAACATTGTTGAAAAATTGTATAATTTTTTTTTTCTCCTTCTCTATTTAGGCTGAGATGCTGAAACTTGGCCTAGTTGCAGCACCTTTCACATGTATCGGGATAATAAATTATGAATACCCTACAACAACTCTCATAGTTCCGGTCAGATACCCCCTAATTGCAAGGCAAGGTTCTTGGCCAAGTTTCAACATTATTAATTCTAATACCTATACTGAAAATCCGTCTTGGTTATCTATTTAAGCAAGTGTTGAAATTAAACAATTAAGTTTTAATTTTGCGAAAACGCTTAATGACTTGGTCTTAATAGCTCTTAATCTTTCTCTAGATAGGTAACGTGTCCCGGAGCTTCAACATGTGCGGGCTGCTGTCCCTGTGCTGGAAGCCTGAGAGATGTCGGGTGTGTGGCCACGTCATCACCAGCGAAGAGTAGCCAGCGCTTAGACTAGCTACCAACCAAAACCCTGCGGAAGATGCCTTGTATACATAGGTATATTTAGGGACCCACGGAGAAAAAACAGAAAATTGCGTAATTTTTTAATGGTGCCGAGGGACGCCTTGATTTGCTTGGCTCTTTTAGCCTAGCGGGTGCAGACGATAACAGCATGTTGGGAATTTTTTTATTAATTTTTTTAATGCTTATCTATAGGTTTTAGGCTATGACTAAGAGTGATTTTTATTCTTTAGGCTGGACAGATTTCTGAAAGTACTATTAAATTTTTACTCTAAGCCTGTCTTTTATTTTTAATGATACCATTGGTTGAAAGGTAACAAGAGTAAACTCCTGAAATGTTTAGGGCAATTTTAATCAATTTAAATGATTTTATCAATAAAATCTCAGCATTGTTTCATGTTGAAACTCTGATAAAAGAGAAGAATGTATAACAGAGCAGACCTTAACAGCCCTATGGGTCTGACTCCACCTGCTGCAGTCGCCTTTGTCTCACAAATGTTCCTTAATCAGCCAGGTGTGAACAGGTTGGAGGAGGATAAAGCTCTTGCCCCAATCTCTTACTTGATGTGATGGTACTGAAGTGCTAAACTAATCTTTCTTGCCACCAATCAATTTATCGTGCATGGAAACTGTGTCTATTCCCCATTATGCATCCATTTAGCCATAGTTGGTGGTGGTGGGGGGGGGGGTGTGAAAGAGATGTTTAGGGACAATACCTCAATTCCTCCCCCCCACCAGTGCATAGTTGAAAATTATGGTCGGACTATTTGATGGCTTTAGTCGCGTTAGTGATCCACAATATTTCTGGTTAGTGCAGTATTTTACCTGCCTCGGTGAGGAGAATCTTCCAGTCTTCTCTTCTGGTTGTCGGGCTGTTTGAACCTGACCTTGTTTTCCCCACACCTTAGATTTCTGTACTACTCTTGTATCCTTGACCAGTGGCTGTTGTCCCACTGTGGTAACCAGCGTCCCTGTGCCACTCCTTGCTTACCGAGTCTCAACCTTCTGAGCTTTACCATGTCCTATTTTAGCTTGCTAAAGTGAAATTTTTCATCGTACCATAAATATTGATCATATGTACTGCAACATTTCTTAGTCAACACATTCAGTCCTAACCAGTCTCTTGTAGATTCCATCGTGTTGGTGAGGCCATGGTTTGGTCCTCCAGACACGTGGAATAATACCAGCATAGTCTCATTGTTCCATCCCATGTTACGCCAGGAGACTTTTCTAATTATCTTTATCACCAGTGAATACTCTCTAGAACTGGGGGAGTACCTGGAAAATTTATCTAAAAGGGAAATCCCTAGAACATTTATATCTAAGTGCAGAATGGAGCACAGTGACTCTTGTCTCCACCACTATGCTTTTTATGCAAAGCAGTTAAAGAAAAATCACAGCAACGCTACTAAGTACATCATACAGCAACGCTGTTATAAAATATCATGCCTAAACTCTCAACAAGAGTTATCGAGTCTGGCACACTGTCACAGGCAAGCAAATAAGTATATTGAGGTTATTTTGGTATATAATTGGCCGATTGTATGCTTGTGTGATTTCAATATTCTATAAGTCTGTCTGTCGGTTATAAAGCGAGGCAACGCCTCATATCTCGGCAAGTTTATTAATATAGTAGCGCAGCAGTAGAATCTCCAAGCACTAGACCTTGTGAGTGTCCATTGTGAGAAAATTCAGTTGCAATAAGTAAACACTACCTCATAAGTGTCCATGGTGTTGGAAGAGATTCAGTCAAGCTGACTGTACCTAATATAATTTAATATAAATACATTGAATAATATAAATTAAGTTAACAATTGCTTGCTTAGTTATATTTTATCATACAAGTTCATTTAATTTAATATTTCTTTTACTTAGTAACAATACTTAGACTACATTTAAAATCAATTATAACTTTTACAATTTAAATTGTTTAGTATAAAAATGTACTGGCTGTTAATTGTTATGGTGCTAGGCTAGACTATGTACATGTTTAAATCTGATTTAAACAGAGCCAGTGTTCAGTTATATAACTGAATTTATTAAATCTTATCCTTTTATAAGATACAAGCTGATGCGAGATACCTTTTGGCAGGTGGACTGTGGATCTTCAATCAACCTATCAACTAATTTATTCACCCACCTGACCCTTACAGCCCACAATCTCATTAGGAAAAGAAGAGCTAGGATTTACCACCCTAGCTAGAGATTTTAGTTGAATTAATTTGCAGACTAATTTTCAATTTAGTTCAGTACAAGTCCCTGGTAGTCTCCTCTCATATCAATCCCTGCAGGTTTTTCCCACACTTACTCCCCTGGCATAACATGGGATGGGACAACGAGACTATGCTGGTATTATTCCACCTGTCTGGAGAACCAAATCATGGCCTCGCCAGCACTGAATGTAATTTACAGGAGACTGGTTAGGACGGAATATGTTGACTAAAGGTTGCAGTACATATGGTAAACATTTATGGTACGATAAAAAATTTCACTTTAGCAAGCTAAAATAGAAGGACATGGCTAAGTAGTACAGGTGGTTTTAAGACTCGGTAAATAAGTAAAGTTGCACAGGGACGCTAGTTGCCACAGTGAGACAACAGTCAAACAGTCATTGTCAATGATACAGAAATCAAAGACGTGGCGAAAACGAGGTCAGATTCCAACAGCCTGAGAACCAGAAGATTTCCTCAGTGAGGAGAAAATCTTACAGGTAAAATACTGCACACAAGAATTTTTGTTCACTTCCCTGCAACAGTCTTGAGGGGATCACTAACCCAACCATAATTTTCAACTTCACCCCAATCCCTTCCACCCCACCATCTATGACAAGATGGATGCACAATGGGGAATAGACACTTTCCATGCACGAGAAATTAACTGGTGGCAAGAAAGATTAGCTTAACACTTCTGTACCATCACATCAAGCAAGAGATTGGGGCAAGAGCTTTATCCTCCTCCAACCCCCCGCCCCTGTTCACACCTGGCTGATGAAGGCACATTTGAGAGACTAAGGCGACTGCATCAGGCAGAGTCAAACCAAACGGCTGTTAAGGTCTGCTCTGTTATACACTCTTCACCTTTATCAGAGTTTCAACACTTAATGTTAAGTTATTTTATCTAATAAAACCAAGTTCATAAGAATTGCCCTAAAATTCAGGATTTTACTCTCGTTACCTTTAAACCATTGGCATCAGTAAAAAAACAGGTCTAGTAAAAATTTAATAGTACTTTCAGAAATCTGTCCAGCCTAAAGAATAAAAATCAACCAAAGTCTTTGTCATAACCTAATACCTATAGATAGCATTAAAAAAATTAAAAAAAAAAAAAATAAAATCAACATGCTGTTATTGTCTCCACCCGCTAGGCTAAAAGAGCCAAGCAAATCAAGGCGTTCCTCGGCACCATTAAAAAATTACGCAATTTTGTTTTTTCTCCCCGTGGGTCCCCAAGTATACCTACGTATACCTATGTATACAAGGCATCGTCCGCAGGGTTTTGGTTGGTAGCTAGTCTAAGCGCTGGCTACTCTTCGCTGGTGATGACGTGGCCACACACCCGACATCTCTCGGGCTTCCAGCACAGGGACAGCAGCCCGCACATGTTGAAGCTCCGGGACACGTTACCTATCTAGAGAAAGATTAAGAGATATTAAGACCAAGTCATTAAGCGTTATGGCAAAATTAAAACTTAATTTTGTTAAATTTGAACCATCTTAAATAGATAACAAAGAAAGATTTTCCATTATAGGTATTAGAATTAATAATGTTGAAACTTGGCCAAGAACCTTGCCTTGCAATTAGGGCATGTCCCCGTCTTAGGGACTGCGGAGGTGGCAGCAGTAGCAGCATCAGAGTCAACAGCAGCCAAGATAAATCCACCAGCTGTATTACGACGACCTGAGTACAGATCTTTGGCAGAAACGTAGGCTTCAGCATTTGAGTAGTTATCAGGAAGAAGTGCACCTGCATATTCATTAACAGGTTCATTACCAATAGGACGGTAATAGAGGGGTCTGGTAACCTTTACTGGAGGTTTTAGCCGAATGGGTTTAGCATCCGGGAAAGCGCCAGAAAGAAGCTGGCAGTCCTTTGCTGGAAGTCAAAAGGTTTATTAGTTCACAGGTTAAAAGTAAAGAGTTAAAGTGGAGAGACTAACTAGCAACGTATACTTACAACGGCCATATGCAGCTCTGCGTTCTGCTACAGAAGGGATTTCTTCTACTGTAAAATAATGGTCGGATACTAACATTAAAATCTTTCTATAAATATACAGGCGTAAATATTTTTCCATCCTTACACTAATAATAATAGTTTTTGATAAATTACACTTTATTGTGAATGTAATAAGGTTAACCTTAACGCTTAAAAATTCAAAAAAAGATTAAGACTTGAAAAGTCCAAATAAGCTGGACTTTGAAAGTTATACATAATTACCACGTACGTTCTTAAGTAACGAACGTCAGCAAACATGGAAACTATAACCAACGAAATACAAATAATATACACAACTAACGTTCGTGTTCCTCCCACATTGTCCCAAGTGTTACTCTGAGAGAAGCAATGTCTGGATCAGAAAACGAACACGCTCACGAGAACACAACCAGGTCATCTGTCAGCTTCTGACCGGCTCTTCCCCAAGTAAACGTCTGAAGCTTCGAAGTAGATGTCGAACGATTCTCAAGTGATTCGTAAAAAGTAAATGCACTTGAGCAGTTTGCTTCGTTTTGCTGATGGTTTAAACGACAGGTTAAAGATTCACTGAGAGTGTTTCATACCGAAAACCAAAACCCATTTATATATTTCGTCAAATGTATATACTGTCTGTGTTATTAGGTGAACATCTTAAGTGATATGAACTCTTGGCCAGGTAAGATAATTTTCAGGTAAAAGCATCCAATAATTATGAAGATATTATAAGCAAAAATTGTTTTAATGCTTTACGAATCACATGGGAATTGTTCGGTGGCTGCCTCGAGGCTTCACACAAGTTTACTTGGGGCAGGAGTCGGCCAGCAGTTGGCAGAGCACTCTACTTCCTTACTCAGGCTGTACCTTCTTATTGATGCAGACGTTGTTTTCGGTAATAACCATGAGCGACGTTCAAGGTTTGTGATTTATGGTTTGACTAAGTTGTGGTATTTAAGAGTTTACGATTTTTTTTTCATAACTCTGAATTTTAAGTGATAAGGTTTTTATGGGAAGAATGTGTTTAATCTTTCTCGATTACTTACCAATTTTTTTTTTAAGTTCAACAATTTTCATGTTATACTAGTTTG